GCCACATAACTGAAAATTCCTCCATCTGCACCCTACTAATGCTTTCTCCTCCATATACTAGTTTTTGACTGGCTTCTCTCCAGGTGCACCTCACTGGGTATGTGAAGGCACAGAGGTAAAGAGAAGAATCATTCAGATGGCTGGTGGGTTTCTTCAGGTTGAAGGCCCCTTTCCTCTTGTTTCCTGTGTATGTGTGAGAAGCTTGAAAACCTTGGTTGTGGTCCTCTTTTTCTGACAAAAAGAATTTGGGTGGTTGGCCAGGAGGCTGAATGTACCAGAAGGGAAAGTTTGTGACAGACCAGTCAGCTTCATAGGAACACTGGATAAAAACAGGATTTCCTTCAGTAACAGTCACAGTCCCCCTTCTTTGTTCTACGGAGTCTTCTGCACTCTGTCCTGTGGAGAAGAGTTGAAGTTAGATGGCCAAGCCATCTAAGAGGAAGAGACAGAAAGTGCAAACTTTCCCTCAGCTCTTGTTGTCTTTGATCTGAACAACAATCTTCTCACACTTTATCCTCCTTCACATCCCTCTACCTTTCAGACTTGGTTCTTGTTGGATTGAAAACTGCATTAATTAATTGTATTAATTATATTTAACCTTCTGGAGAAACCAAGTTGTTGTGGGTTGTTGTTTTTTCTTTCCCCTGTTTTGGTCTTCCCTCCTGACTGTATCCTCATAGTAATGTTAAACTAGGACTTTATACAGAAATATGAGAAAAATCCAAAGATGCAGACAAAATGGCAAGGCTTGTGTGATTTTCATTAGGCAAAGGTGGATTTTTTAAAGATCGTAGCTTCTTCATATGCTCCTGAGTAAGAAAAGCTGGCATCTGCCCCAAATTTCCTCTTCTGGGCTGTTATCAAAGATTCCTCACCCTTAATTCTATTACAGACACTCTCCCTAAAGGAATGTTATCACATTTCTCTAAAATATCCTCTTTTTCAAAGTTTTCTATTACACTTGTTTCAAAGGATCTTTAGGCATCTAGAACATGCAAGGCAAGAATTAAACCTAACATGGAAAAGAATCACTTACTTAAGACTATAATTCTGAGTATGATCCACACCCAAAAGATGGACATTTGACTGAATTAAGGATTGCAGACAGACCACCGATACCCAGATATTTACAGGACCAATCATATTCTGATGAGCTTCCAGGCTTGGCTCTGCATGCTCCTGCATGTAGGACAAGACAAGCTACAACAGAACAGACTCTTTGGACAAAGCTCCTCCTCCTCCTGAAAGGAACTTCAGGCAAAAATATTGCAAGCCACAGGATGTGGTTAGTGATGAAAATGCTAAAAAGCATTATAGAAAACCCAACATTTTGACATATAATAAGTTATTGAAGGAGGAGTGCTGTCTCAAGATTGCCACCTTGTGCCTGAACATGGTGTTAAATGTCAGTGTTCAAAAGCAAGCTAGGGTTGAAATGTTCAACCAGTTGCAGAAGAGTGCTGAGATGATAGATAGATAGATAGATAGATAGATAGATAGATAGATAGATAGATAGATAGA